AAGCGTTGTCATATGATGGCTGCATTGCAGTAGTAGAATCAGTCCTTCGGTACGAAGCGAAACGAACGTTGGCCAGTGTGTCACATTGAATGACGATAAGCAACAGCTAAACTGGATAGAAATGCGAATGCCCAGATGGATGTCAGCAGAATGATCACGTCAAGAATATTTTCATAAGGGAAACAGGAGTAGCTTTGATTGCAAAGCTTGTTGACAGCAGGTTAGTCAGTTAAGCCACAAGAAAAGGTCTAGCGACTACGTTGGAAGGACATATCCAGGCACTGATCTTGACAAGAGCATAAAAATGGCGCGATGGTGCAAAGAGCCCCTCTACCCCAGGGAGCTTGTCGAATTGATCCGAAACTGGAAGCTTGATTAGCGATTGAAAAATGTAGAACAGATTCACTATAACAACGAACCCTTTTAAAGAGACCGCTAAAATGAGTGAGAATAGGTTTGTTTTAAGAACGACTCAAATCTATAAATCAAAACTTTGTATGGTAAATTTGCAGAAGTTTCGCCACAGTAACTGTTGAGAGCCGTATGCCTAAATTAAGCGAAAACGACGAGTCGGTCAGGTTCAGTAGAATTTAATAGCTTATAAGTTTACACACCAGCTTCTTTGCCAGCGGAACAGTTTTGATGTTTCGCAGATGATGCTCAGTTTGAGGGAATACTTACTCACCTAAACGAATCTTTCGCTGGTTAATCTGGCGTCGACCAGGTATATATGTATATGTGTATAATCTTTTTCTGTCTTTTCATTTGCATACATCTGATCCATTCGAAATCATTGTTTAGTCGCTAACGGAAAGAAGATACCGTGCAAGGTGGTCGCTCTCAGTTCGACCAACTACCTTTGCGAATACATTCCGACCGAAGTCGGTAGGAGCGTTCTTTTAATACATAGAGCTTTTGACGAACTAATTGATTGAAGGTGTTTACCGCGTTGACCTGAAGATTTGCGGCCGTAGCGTCGACGGCAGTCCGTTTCTAGTGTCCACTTACGAGCCGATGAAGGTTCTGATAGAACCGTTCAGCGGCGACGTGGTGGGTAAACCCGTGCAGTTCCTGGTGGACGCTAGCGAGGCTGGAAAGGGTCAGCTGGAAATATCGATCAACAAAGGTCAGATACCGAACAACGTGCAGCTGCACGGCGCCGGCAAATGTCTAGTGACATTCATACCGGAGAAAGTGGGCACCTACGTGATAGACGTCACGCTTAACGGAGACTTGGTGCGCGGTACGTCCTCTTCGTTTTATCTGCTTTAGTTGGCACAACGTGTTTTTGCTGCAATTCAATTCTTATCCCTTCATACAGTTATTGTTACCGATTGAACGAACGACAGTAAGCGAACGAACGAGGTACTTGGCACCATTTTCATGATTTCATAAACGGAAAGTGCTTTGTTTCTCAGTAACGTCTGTCATAGAACCAGAATAACTCTAGTGGTCGAGCGCCGGGCTCGACATCGAAGGTAATATGTACAATTCCTTGCCGGATCTACTCGCCTTTCATCTTTTCGAGGCGGACTTAAGAGTTCAGTGAACGTGGAAGGCTAACGGGGGATTAAAACTGGAACCAGCTGCATAATGGCATATATGGCATGATGAAGGTTATCCTCTGGTAAACGGATGTAAAACAACGACGACTTTCATTTTCAT